CATAGCAACCTTATGCACAGCAGATCGAAACACTGCCCGATCCTGGGCCAACCTCACTACTGTTGCCACACTTGAGTCCATCGATGCTATCATAATTAGGGAGAACTAAATTTGGAATTCTGGTGCCTTGATTATGGCTTCTCTAGATCTTAAAATATTCCATTTTCAAGCATTCCCCATTTCACTTTCCAGCTCTGGTTTACTTTCTTCTTTTAAGTCTCATCTCAATGTATTCACTGTTTTATTTACTAAGTAGAAAGACACTGCATGTAAATGAGAGAATGGAAGAAGTTATAAATGAATACTGGAAAAGAAAAGAAAGGGTGGAAAAGAATCAGGTGGGCAAGGGAACTGAGGTACAGAGGTCAGAGAGAGATCCATGGAGAGAGGAGCGCCTCCATTGCCACCTACAGTGACACTATCTCATTTTCCTCAGGGGGCACAAAGATTTCCATTGAGAAATCTCAATTCTCCTCCTCTAGGACATGTCCTAAGACAGGCCATGGAGGTGCAGTGGGTTAAGTGGGCTGTAAGTCAAAGGTCAGTGGTTTGAATCCACCAGCTACAACACTGGAGAAAGATACGGCAGTCTGCTTTCTGCAGAGTCAAAATCAACTGGACAGCAGTGGGCTGGGTAGGATCATAAGATTGAAATCTGTTATTTTCTAGATAAATTAAAGGTGACTGGAACTGTATTGAAAAGAAGGGCAATTACATAGATCAAAAAATGGGCAGTGGTGGATGTAGGTATCAGGAAAGACCAGAGGGCAATGAACACTTCCGACTGAAAAGACAGCAAGCTAGTGAAGAGTATAGAGGAAGACTAGGGGATCTAAGAAAACTATAAACTACTTGATAATCTTGGCAGGAGCACACTACAGCATCTAATTTTACAGTTTCTAGATATGGCTATGGCCTACATTAGTTTCTTTTTACATTTAATCTCACTTGTAGTCAGAAAAACATTTAATAGTATTTCCTTGCAATGTTTTAGGCCATGTCAAACAGAATCTGACCTACCTTTCTTGTAAGAGAACCAAATACATGGTATTTTTTAAAATGTGACATTTTACTTTATAAAAACTAATATCCAACAGATTAAAAGAAAAATGTACAACGTTTTCTTACTTTTACAATACAGTATTTTCCCCAACGCTCTGAAGAGAAAGAGGGAAACATCTTTGCCACCAATAGCTTGGATTTCTTGATTTTCAAATACCCTGCCAGGCTTTTTCCTTTGTTTTGTTTTTGACGGCACATCATCCAGTTTCAAAGAAGACACTCCTTTTTTCCTTGGCCAAACTTTGTTCTCTCCTAAATAATATACACCCAAGTGACAATAACTTAAATTATGAAAATGAAAACTAAGAACATTTCATATAGTTATACTAAAAATGCTAATCAAAAAAGATTCTCCAAATAAACAGCAATTATAAAACAGTAAACACTAAGGTCAATTGGCATAACACAGTCCACAAAGACAATATTCTACATCCTACTTTGGTGACTAATGACTGGGTCTTAAATGCTTGTGAGATACAACTACTGGTCTCCCCTCATCTGGAGCAAAAAAAAAGTGAAGAAAACCAAAGGAACATGGGAACAATTAGTCCAAACAGATAATGGACCATGAGAGCCCCAGCCTGCATGACCGTGAAACCAGAGAATCAGATGGTGGCCAGCTGCCACTGTTATCCACTACATAAGGGATCACAATAGGAGGTCCTGGATAGAGTGGGAGAAAAATGTGGAATAAAACTCAAAATCATACGAAGCCCAGCCTTAATGGTCTGACTGACAGACACCGATGGAATTCCTAAGACTATGGCCCATCTTGTTGTTGTTGTTGTTGTTGTTATATGCCGTGGAGTCTGTTCCGACTCATAGCAACCCTGTACAGGGCTTCGGAGGTTGTAAATCTTTATGGGAACAGAAAGCCTCATCTTTCTCCCACAGAACAGCTGGTAGTTTCGAACTGCTGACCGTGAGATTAGCAGCCTGATTTGTAACCTCTATATGTTACTAGACATCTTTAAAGCCTGTAACAAATATCACCTGTGAATCAACTTTCAGCCAAATGACAGATAGGTGAACAACACCACCAGGAAGTATGTACTCATTAGAATAATTTACCATACAAGATCAATAAGGAAGCACTCGCCTAGGGATAAAGTTCAGTATGGTGTTGTAGTTACGATAAGCACTGGACTACAAAGTCAGTTTGAACCACAAGTTCAGGGATTCAAATCCACCAGCTGCTCCATGAAGACCCTTTACAGGACAGCTATTTGTCAGAACAGACTCCACAGCACTGAACAGCAACAAAGTTTAGAAGGCACGAAGGAACAAGACAGAAGAACAAAAAGAAATGTTAAACACAAGGAAGTCAGGTAAACGCCGTCACATTATGGAGATTGGAATCAATTTTACAAAACACCTATGAACTGTTAAATGGAAAATCAGTTTGCTTTGTAAACTTTCACCCAAATTACACACACACACAAATCTGCCAAATAAACTAAAAAAAAAAATGCCATGTGAACTAACTGAAGTCCTCTTTGGATTAATAAAAACAATGTCATTTAGAAGTATTATCTCATGACATAGATTTCAAAATTTCACATACATAATGATGCACTCTCTAATAAAGTCTTTTTGTTTTGGTGGGTGGGGGTAAAACTGACATCAGTTTAAGTAGTTTCTCTAATAACAGTCTTTGATTCCTTACAGTATTTTATGCAAAACATTGTAAAACTGACATCAGGTTAAGTGAGTTTCTCTAATAAAAAGTCTTATCACTTTGATTCCTTACAGTGTTTTATGCAAAATATTGTTCTTAGCATTATATGTATTAATTTAATCCTCACAACAACTCTATGAAGGGAAACCAGACATTATACAGATCAAAGAAACTGCATAAAAGGAGGTTAAAGTGAAAGACCGAAGGGTATCAGCTAAGAAGTGATTTGAGTCTAGGCAGTTAGCTCTAGAATCCATGTTTAACCACTAAGCAATATATATTACTTCTCTATTGATTTCAGCAGTGCCAAATTTATGAATTTGCCTCTGTACAAATGTGACTTAGAAGTCTACTGTTTTAAACAGAGAATGTACAACTAAAGAGAAACAGCCTAGTACAGCAGAAAGAATCTAGAATCTGGATTTGAATCCTAGTGTTACCGCATTGGAGTCCTGGTGTGGCGCTGCAGAATACGCACTGGAATCTAACCACAAAGTCAGTGTTTAAACCCCACCAGGAATTCTGGTAGCATAGTGGTTACGAATCAGCCTGCAAACCATAAGGTCAGCAGTTCAATACTACCAGCTGTTCTGCGGGAGAAAGA